TGTATTTAACCATGGATAGACACCTGTGTACATACTTGTACATGTATTTGCAATCATGTCATGTTTTCATTGGATAAGAAGCGAGTCAATGTAAATGATTTCAATTAGATACGGATTCGTGTCACAAAACGAATGCTGTTGATTGTTGATTGATATTTACATACCACCGAGAAGCCTGCGATCTGATGACAACACCAGCTAGTTATACCAATATCACAATCTCAATCGGGTGACAGGGCGTTCTAAATCTCTGCCCCTTTATTATGGAATGCTAATCCACAGGAACTCAAATGTGCAGAGATCTTAGAATCATTCCGGAGAATGTTGAAAATCTGCCTCTTCGTCGAAGCATTTCCAGTCAAATAATTATTAAAAGTTCATATATGTTATCCTTTCGTCTATTTCGTTTCAACTGTAGATCCTTTCGTCAAGCGAGTGTGTGTGTGTGTGTGTGTGTGTGTGTGTGTGTGTGTGTGTGTGTGTGTTTGTGTGTGTGTGTGTGTGTTTATGTATGAATGATTTTTATTTCCTCCATTAGTATCGGAGAGTACAAACATGGAAATTAATTAATCAGTATGTACATGCATGATAACAGATATGTTTATAATCAGCCTACAGATAGAGAATAGACGTAAGCTGCCATGAGCTTATTTCTTGGCTGACTATGCTTACGAATTGAGCCCCTGTACCGAGTGTCATCTCCCCTACACGATGCGTAATGCCCCCAAGTAGTGTCACAACTCTCACTTCGTTGTCTGTACAATCTTCTATTTTAAGATATTGGTTAAGGCACAGTAAATCAAACAGTTTCTGATAGAGGATATTTCCTTCTTGCACTAGACTGTCGCAGTTTATTAACTGGTGCAGTACAACATCGTTACATTCTTCTCCACACATCATTGATGTGTATCAGTTTATCATATTCATCAGTTTATCATATTGATCAGTTTATCATGAAATACGTACGTACGTATGTATGTACGTATGTATGAATATACCTGCTGTCTTGTTATTCCATTTCCACATGTTCAGTGTCATAACTTGATCATTCAATTGTGGAATTGTCTTCACACGTGAGAATATTAACTAAGATTACACCGCCTGATGTGATTATGAATACGTGCAAACAATGACCCTCACTATGTTCATATATGTCCCCATTTCATGAAATCTAAACAATAATCAACATGTGTTTACAAACCGCTATAATATAGCATCTTACAAAGTGATATCATGTTCCTTAAGGCTCGTGACAGCATGACGTACATACCTCATTCTTCACAAGCCTCTATTTTAAATTGAGAGATATAAACAGAAGATAAATATGTATTCAATATGCAAACCAATCGATAACACAATAAATACACGAATATAATAGGCCCTACCTACCAACAAGCGTGTGCTGCCACCGGTCTACCGTCCATGTTGGAACCTACGCCCTGCATTGATATGCCTAGTTGTGGTCCAACCATGTATACAAAAGTCCTTATATATTTCGTGTTGAAGTCAAGGCGAGCAATATTTGCCGAGTCAATTGGTGAAAGTGACAGCTCACTCTTACAGTGCTACCATCGGTAGGGACCGTCTGCGGGAAGGTTCATGTTCGTCAAACTGTCTTACAAGAGGCTAGAGGCTTGGGTAATAGATAGAAACCAGAACAGAGCCAAGTGGTCACATACCGTATTCGACGTAATAAGCGCCTCGCTCTAATAAGCGCCCACGGCGATATTTGCTAATATATTGGCTAGTGAACAATCCAAATAAGCACCCCTTCCGATTGATCAATGTACACAAGACCTATGTATTCGTGTATAATACGCACTCGTGTGTAATATGCACCCTCAATTATGGGCAATTAAATTCTGGAAAAATATATCTGTCGTATATAAACATTTCAGGCTGTCAGCATAAACCACGAAATCTATCTTTCAACTCTGTTTTTTTCACCAAAGTGATATTCTAATAAGAGCCTCCTATTTATAATTTTGAGAGCGCCCTGGGCGCTTATAACGTCGAATACGGTATACCTCCATACTGCAAGGTTGTATTGGGTTAAGTCAATAGGATATTGATCTGAATATTGTTTTTCATGAAATGACAAAACTCGATATATTTCTCCTTAACCATTTTTACATTTGGCTGTGTAGCTAAATCCGGTTTTAGAACACAACCTTACTACATTCAAGCTCTTATCTGTGCGTCCCGGATATTTAAGCTTGTCGTCTTGATAAGGCATGATATTTATAGGAAGTCATATTTTAAACTTTTGTTGACATTATTTTCATTTTCCGTCACGATATCTACATATAACTGTTTATGGTTGGAACCTGTGCTGACCGTTAACCACCTGTTGTATGTGGAGTATGAAATGAGGCTGACACACTCAGGGATAAAATCTCTGATTAACATTCTCTTGGTGTTGTGCATTGTTACATGGAAACGAGAGTATATAAAAGCCTTATCTCCATCAAAACACTTATTTCCATAGATTGTGTTTAAGTGGTATTTGACCCAGTTAACGCGATCAATTATGGAGATCGATTGGTATAAGTCCTATCGCTAAGCTAGACGTGTGTCAAGTAATCTATAGGGCTACTTCGCGGCTTTATACTATTAAGCATTGCCACAAAAAGTTAAAAAAATTAATTAGCAGTTCCAGCTGAAACGACCAATCTGTTTTTTGTTTTTTTCTACACAATTATAATTCTTTTAGCTATCATGAGTTTCAGGGAACCTTTTGAAATGTCCGAGAAGAAACGTTATTACTGCAGTGTCTGAAAGGAACGTTACTGCAGTGTCTGAGACGAAACGTTACTGCAGTGTCTGAGAGGAAACGTTACTGTAGTGTCTGAGACGAAATGTTACTGCAGTGTCTGAGATGAAACGTTACTGCAGTGTCTTAGACGAAACGTTACTGTAGTGTCTGAGACGAAACGTTACTGCAGTGTCTGAGACGAAACGTTACTGCATTGTCTGAGACGAAACGTTACTGTAGTGTCTGAGACGAAACGTTACTGCAGTGTCTGAGACGAAACGTTACTGTAGTGTCTGAGACGAAACGTTACTGCAGTGTCTGAGATGAAACGTTACTGTAGTATCTGAGAAGAAACGTGGCTGTAGTGTCTTAGGAGAAATGTGATTCCAATAGCTAAAAAGAAACGTGACTGCAATATCTAAGAATAAACGTGTCTGCAATAGCTAAGAAGAAACGTGATTGCAATAGCTCAGAAGAAACGTAACTGCAGTGTCTGAGAAGAAACGTAACTGCAGTGTCTGATAAGAAACGTGACTGCAGTGTCTTAAAAGAAACGTGGCCGTGGTGCCTTAGAAGAATGGTGACTGCAGTGTCTGAGAGGAAACGTGGCTGTAGTGCCTTAGAAGAAAGGTGACTGCAGTGTCTCAGAAGACAAGTGGCTGTAGTGCATTAGAAGAAAGGATTGCAGTGTCTAAGAAGAAACGTGGCTGTAGTGCCTTAGAAGAAAGGTGACTGCAGTGTCTAAGAAGAAACGTGGCTGTAGTGCCTTAGAGGAAAGGTGACTGCAGTGTCTGAGAGGAAACTGACATTCAATGCTGAACTGTTAATTGATTACACTAATTACACAGCGACATTGCCAGGCACTGATTACAACGTCTCTCCCCATACTGAAAAATGGCACCGTCTTTTATGATCCTGAAAAACTTTAGGGCATGCTACATTAAAACAAAATTCGTCCATAAATATCGATTGTGTATCTATACAGCGTTCATTATTTTACTGTTTATATGTATTTTAACCTCGTGCAAACTCTACTCGAAATTAATCATCATTGATATCGTAAGACTATTCGAATCGAAATCTGCTATTGGAATATTGTTAAAAAGTAATTCGCCGACAGCGATACTGTCACGACTTGTCCCCATATTGAGGACAAGGGCCATGCAGGCTTCATAATGGGACACCCAGTAATGATTAATGCCAGAGCAAATATAATGTCCCCCTTGTCTGCCCCTTGTTGTACTACAGCAGCTGTTGAGTGCACTCAGCTTTAAGAGGACATATGAGGATATCATACAACGTCACGAACCTCAGGGTTATGAGTGCGGTGAGCGCGAACACTTGGCGGGTGTACCACCTCTAGTGTTACGTTCATGCTGTAAGAAACATTCTGTTTCTGTAGAACAATCTCTTGTCACTCTATGAGTGTGTGAGGGGCTGTGGGGTAGCTGAGTGGTTAAAGCGTTCGCTCGTCACGGCGAAGACCCTGGTTCAATTCCCCAATAGGTACAATATGTGAAGCTCATTTGTCATCTGCCTTTATATCTCCTGGGAAAAAGAAAGTATATACCCATGTTTGATGGTGGTAAGAATAAAACAAACAAGAAATGGTTATTCGATGGTATTTGGTACTGGTATCATAGTTGTATTTTGGATCTTAAGTTGGCAGCGTTACGGCGACTGTTTTCAGCCCTGTGACGTTTTGATAAAAAATGTAATAATTGTTTTGTCAAATCAAATTTTCAAGTGAACACTTTCTTTTGCCCGGCAGTTTACTTTCGTTATATCACGCCGTTTCAGCCCATACTGGGAGGAAAGCCCAAAGTGCAGGTAGAAGGCAGGCGTCAGTGTTTGTTTTCCGTGATACCTATGGGTATCAACAAACATAGTCAGCGCGCATCCTGGATTTGAAGCCTGCGGATCGCGATACAGCTAGGGGACGCAACTCAGGGATCCACGTCTGACATACATAGACTTTGTTACGTAGATCTTATCACCGTTCATTCTGTTTGTGTTTTCAAAAGTGGGATTTTATGTACAGTAAACTACGTTTATAACGAACACGCTTATAACGAACAGTCGGATAGAACGAATTTTTCTTGTTGTCCTGGCCATTTGCTGTATATATGCTCATAACGAACAAAGGTTAGTTGGCCCTTTGAATTCATATTAACGGTAGTTTATTGTACAAGTGAATGCATTTGTTAAACCACTTCGGCATTGTTCCTTAAAATAAATAGGCCATATGCCAATTGAAATAGTCCACGTGCCAATGGAAATAGCCCATGTGCCAATGGAAATAGTCCATGTGCCAATGGAAATAGCCCATGTGCCAATGGAAATAGTCCATGTGCCAATGGAAATAGTCCACGTGCCAATGGAAATAGCCCACGTGCCAATGGAAATAGCACATGTGCCAATGGAAATAGTCCACGTGCCAATGGAAATAGTCCACGTGCCAATGGAAATAGGCCATGTGCCAATGGAAATAGTCCATGTGCCAATGGAAATAGTCCACGTGCCAATGGAAATAGCCCATGTGCCAATGGAAATAGTCCATGTGCCGATGGAAATAGTCCACGTGCCAATGGAAATAGTCCATATGCCAATGGAAATAGCCCATGTGCCAATGGAAATAGTCCACGTGCCAATGGAAATAGTCCACGTGCCAATGGAAATAGCCCATGTGCCAATGGAAATAGTCCATGTGCCAATGGAAATAGCCCATGTGCCAATGGAAATAGTCCATGTGCCAATGGAAATAGTCCACGTGCCAATGGAAATAGGCCATGTGCCAATGGAAATAGTCCACGTGACATTGGAAACAGGCCATTTGCCAATGGAAATAGTCCATATGCCAATTTAAATAGCCCATGTGCCAATGGAAATAGGCCATGTGCCAATGGAAATAGGCCATGTGTCAATGGAATATAAAACGTCAACGACAGAGAATAACAGGTCTCGATTATCTGCCCAAACATACTTGGCGTAAGAGACAAACAGTGAAGCACAAAATACGAATGGATCACTGAAATTCAGTGGTGGCACGAGGTGTTCGGTCACAAACAATATTATTATTTATGATATATATGGCGTAACTTTGTTACTTTGCATCCATCTACAAAGATGTATCAATATTGATCCCCCGTCGCTATTAATTCAGCATGAAAAGTCTCTGTTCGTAAGAACAAAGTATAATACCTTTGATCAATTTATTTGTTTCTTATCTTTTATGTCGATAAAAAAATTCTCAGTATACGCTAACTTCAACGGGGTTTATAATCACCAGCAAATAGGTCAGTTGTAATAGGTCATATATTGTGTATGTGACAATAGTTAATGTTAAATTATTATTAGGCAAACGAAATGCTTTGAGAAGAAGTTTTAAATGTTTACAATACGTCAGATTTGTGAGTGAAACCGCAGGCATTAGAAGTTCTGGCAGTACTTCGAGTTATCCGTACTTCTAGACAAACGGAGTGGCGGTATAGGATCAAGTGCCGATACGGTTTATATCGGTTCAATAAAGTTACATCGTCTTATACATGTCGAGTAACTGAGTTCTAGTTATCGAGGTTTCATCTTACTTATGGTGTATTGTGACCTCTGACCTGAGTTTGCAAAGGAAAGCATTTTACACTCGTATGTAACTATATTACGTAAATCTTAGAGAAAAGTGAGTCTCGATTATCCGGCTAAACAGGTTCCATCGGGCGTAAAACGCAACATAATGGTGAAAATTAAATGCACTGTTCAGTGATGTACGGTGGCCAATAAGGGACATGGAGTCTGTTTTTCCATATTTTGATATTTCACTTACATTTATCGTAACCTTTCGCAAATTAACACGATTTGTCTTACAAATATGTGATAAATCATGAGTAAAGAAGATATTGAGTCGCTGAAAAATGAAACGAAAATGTCAAAAACTAAAATGAAAATGTCAAAAACACAAAACGAAAATGTCAAAAACTAAAATGAAAATACAGAAAACTATTTCCACCGCGGTGTAAATATTATCACCGCGGTGGAAATAGTTTTCACCTCGGTGGAAATATTATCACCGCGTTGGAAATGGTTTTCTGTATTTTCATTTTAGTTTTTGACCTTTTCGTTTTGGTTTTTGACATTTCCATTTTAGTTTTTGACATTTTCACTTCACATTTCAGCGACTCAAAAGCTACTAAAAGTACATTTTCTATGTTTTCGGATGTTTTTATACATGATTTATCACATATTTGTATGGCAGATTCTGTTAATTTGCAAAAGGTTAAGATAAAAGTAAGTTAAACATCAAAATATTGAAAAACAGACTCCATGTCCCTTATGGGCCACCGTAGTGATGCTATACGTAGCACCCGCCACTCAACAGTTTGCATAAAAACTGACACCATACATCGGTGCTCCTGCCATGCGACCATCGAGTCTAAACTAGACAATCAAGTGACACTAAAGCGCATTTACTGTTTTTGTTGCAACAAAAAACGGTACGTTCATTTTAATTACGTCTGCTGCGCACAAGTGCAATGATTATGTTGCTCACAAATACAGAGCAACGTCTAAGAAATATGCTTTGGTAGACTTAAGCTAAAGACTAAAGCTTTAGTAGATTTAAAGTGTCTCTTATATTTGTAAAACCAAAAATGTTACTTGCAGTTAGGCTGTTGATATTGTACTTCGAAAGCGTTACATACAAGCTTCTTTGCTTGCTTTCATTATATTTCATATGCAACTTATATAACAGTGATGATACGCTGCAGCCTCTATATCACTCCAGATGTACACAGCACTTGTCGTAAGAGGCGGCTAACGGGATCGGGTGGTCAGGCTCGCTGACTTGGTAGATGCATGTCATCGTATCCCAATTGCGTGGATCGATGCTCATGATATCAATCACTAGATTGTCTGGTCCAGACTCGATTATTTACAGACCGCCGTCAAATAGCTGGAATATTGCTGAGTGCGGCATTAAACAACAAACAAGCAAACAAACAAGATATAAAAAGTAACGTACCGAAACCTTAATAAGGAAAATAAAAACCTATTAATAATCCACAGGGAAACGAAAGTATACACTCGTGTTTGGTGGTGGCTTTACATTAAACAAACACGAATATATATATCCTACTTTAATGTATGTGATACGGGTTGGGTTTTGGACCATTAGTCTGAAGGGTTTCTCAGCCTAGTAACGTTTCGATAAGGTTTGTAATTGCTTGGTCAAATCCAATTTTCAAGTGTATACTTTCTTTTGCCCGGCGGTTAGGTCTCAGAGAACATGCACACGTTATAGCTAATCGCCTTTGAAATTGAACGTTTTTCAGTAAGTATAACGAAAAATGCCTTTACTTTGCGGTCCTGTTCTAGTCCTAGAGGTTACGCTCTGCACCTGTAATTTGTAACCTGCAGCTTATGAGGTGAATACAGAGATTAGTCGGCAGAGCTTACGCTTACTTTAATCGCCGTGTTTGTGCCGTGTATTACACGAGAAGGATTATAGTCGGCGGCACACAGACACGATTGCCTATATCACACCAGCACATGACCCGCATACAAACCTCAGTGTGAAACACAGTGCAGGTGAGAAAATGCATTGATTGTGTCCGTGTGAGTGAACCTACAGGAGTCACGTTAACTCACATGTACAAGGGATATAGTTCGCTGTGTAGCCAATACATGGTATGAAATAGTTTGTGGTCTTCCTAATCATGGTGTGGTGTCATTAACACCGTGTAGGGTCATGAGTGCGAACATGACAATACATGACAATACAATCAAGGAAGAATGTAAATAAAACATATACAGTGCCATGCTTTCAAATAGGACCTGTTCTTACCATTGTACAATACTCTAAACACATTCTCATATCTAAAACCACAGAAATGGTATGCTACTCGTATGGTATAGTATGGTGGTATGGTATGGGATGGGATGGTATGGTATGGTATGGTATGGTATGGTATGGTATGGTATGGTATGGTATGGTATGGTATGGTGGTATGGTATGGTATGGTATGGTATGGTGGTATGGTATCTCTCACAACGATAAAATGTACATACTTCAAAGCTAAACGCATTGAGTTTCTCTCGGATACATACCTAATATTCCTCTACACGAAAACTTGTTATTGTGAAGAGGGGATAAACGACGGGTCAGTTAGTACAACGCCTGGACGCGAGCATAATCAGCTTGGCAGAATGTCATTCAAAGGATGTACACTTATATGAAAATGATGTTCCATAACTGTCAGACTCGCAAGGAATAAGCTATTGCCGGGACATTTATTAAATTTCTTGTGGAGTTATTACTCATTTCTCTGCTAACATATTAATGACAGTTTCTTAATATCATCTGTAAGAAACCATTTGCAATACAATGTATGTGTAGTTCAACAGAAAGTCACCTCCAAAATACTCTTTGAGCCTAGTAACTAGAAAAGCAATCGTGACCAAGTGTTATTGAAACTCCATACACGCATTAGATTATAAGTTTTTTAGCCTACCTTCAATATGCAAAGCTCCTTGAAATTACCTTCGAGACATACTTATCGGTCGTCTAGGAATGCCTTCAAACATTAAGGAAAGATCATTACTTTGAATGTAGAATCGTCGAAACATGCCAACAGTTCTTGATAGGAGTTTTTACTATTCCAGCTCTTTGGGTTGACATTGCTTTGAATCATAGTGCCATATGAAACATAATCGTCGTTATTAATCATTGAATCGTAAACAATAAACACCAATTCCTCGAGAATGAAACTTCATAATGTTTTCCTTGACATTGCAAACAAACGTGCAGCCACCATAAGCCACAAAGAGCAAATTTGGATACCCTGACTTCGATCCTGACAGTTCCTTCTCCGAATCTTCTTAAAGATATGTTGGCTGTCTTGATCAAAATCCACACTGCCAAGTGTTAATACACAAACTACTTTTTTGCGGAAAACAATTGTCATAGCCATGAAGTGGCAAAGCCCAAATTAATCTTAAGGCCGTTAGGGTATGCCTGAAATACACTCCTACACGCGACGTTATCTGCAGTGTAAAGACCCATGGAATCTCAAACAAGTCACTTTCTCACTTGTCCTGGTTATGTCTAGATTGGAAAAATATAAATTGGCGTAAGTGACTTGAGGGAGTTTGTTTTGTGATAGTAACGGGTGTGTATTGACCAAAAGATAACACCTTTCAAAGGTCTGTGGATTTATGTCCCGAGGCAGTGTAAAGCAAAAGGTCTTGTATCAAGCATTTGTAATCAAATCTTTATTTCATCCTAGCAACATGGCGGCCTAACGTCACACGATCACGTGACAGGTGAAGCGTAAAATGGCAGCAACGTCAAAATGGTGGCCATGTGTTCTCAATGGTGTGATAGGCGTCACAGATCTGAAATACAGATGTCGTACCTTCCTTGCACGCTTGTTCACAGTGTGGCTGGCTCTTCGTTCAGCCATTGTGACAGGGCGTCACTGAACCGTGCTTAATACTTTTCAAATTGTTGCTATTCACGAACATAAGAAATCATTTTCTTTCACAGCAGAGTGACAAAATACATATAAATAAGTGTTAACGTGGAAAACACGTGTGTATTACCCTGGTCACGCGTGGTTAGCGACATGCCACTAATCTTATTAAACTCTGATGAGAGTGAGAACAATCGTCTCTTGAATCTAATGTTTGACGTGTATTTATCAGTCTCTTGAATCTAATGTTTGACGTGGATTTATCAGTCTCTTGAATCTAATGTTTGACGTGGATTTATCAGTCTTTTGAATCTAATGTTTGACGTGGATTTATCAGTCTCTTGAATCTAATGTTTGACGTGGATTTATCAGTCTCTTGAATCTACTGTTTGGCGTGTATTTATCAGTCTCTTGAATCGGTCTAATGGCTGTGTATTTATCAGTCTCTTGAATCTAATGTTTGACGTGTATATATCAGTCTCTTGAATTTAATGTTTGACGTGTATTTATCAGTCTCTTGAATCGGTTTAATGGTTGTGCATTTATCAGTCCCTTGAATCGGTCTAATGTCTGTGTATTTATCAGTCTCTTGAATCGGTCTAATGGCTGTGTATTTATCAGTCTCTTGAATCTAATGTTTGACGTGCATATATCAGTCTCTTGAATTTAATGTTTGACGTGTATTTATCAGCCTCTTGAATCGGTTTAATGGTTGTGCATTTATCAGTCCCTTGAATCGGTCTAAGGCTATGTATATATCAGTCTCTTGAATCGGTCTCATGGCTGGGTATATATCAGTCTCTTGAATCTGTCTAATGGCTGTGTATATATCAGTCTCTTCAATTGGTTTCACGTATGTTTATATTTAAGTCTCCTGTATCTGTCTAATGTTTGTGTATATATCAATCTCCTCCATCGGTGTGCATTTATCGACCCCGTGTGTTGTCTCCTAAATCTATCCAACATTCGTTCATTTAACATTAGCTTCGTGAGCTGTCACCTGATTCTTTCGTGAGAATTTGGAAATAGGGAAGTTATTTAGCAGAAGCATCACCTGTATGGCTATTATTAATGAGAACGAACTTTATTACTCAAACTTAGAGACACATGCCAGTCTGGAGTAACGCTTGGTAATGTAACGGTAATTCGCCCGACTACAACATTAGGAACCGGGGTCACGTGTTAGTGTGAAAAAAGGAATATTTTCGATTTCCAAATTATAATAATTGACGTGTCTGCGAGATCAATATTATTTATATATCATCGTGTCCCGATAACAGTTGAATCTGCTGCAGGCAAATTAGTCATTGATACCATGAGCATTAATTCACTAATTAAGAATTTGTTTATATTGTTCACCGCTTCCGCCGTTTCCCAGCTTTTTCACACCTGCCTGTAAATAAACGAGTCTAAAACCAGTGATTGATATTGTGAGCAACACAGTCAAGAAAGTGACCAGGCCTGACTACCCGATCCACTTAAACGCCCCATTCAGCAAGCATGCCGAGGACCTATTAAAACAGGGAATAACCATGGGGGCTTGTCGCGATGGAACATTATAAACCAGATCACAAATTATGAAATCCGCACTTCAGTCGATCCTTACAACACGTATAGGGTAATAGAGACCTTATCTGGCCAACTTAAAATATTTGCCATTACTGCCTGTGTATTTGGATGGCATTCATAAAGTGGAAATCGAACCCCAAGACCAATTCAATCAGTAATGACTAAAATGTTGCCAAGAGTGAAAACGTCGATTGACGTACACGCTCTTTAAACCTCTTTCAGAAGTAGCACACCCATAAATAATGATACCATTGACAATAAGGCAAATCCATTCTGTTTGCGTAATCGAGATGTCTTATACGAACAATTCTCAGTTTGAATCCTGTGAAGTGCCCTCTAGTACTCGTGTCCACAACAGCCTTCTTGTCCTGTGTCATATCACCTACAGAAGGTCCGCCAACCGACGTTATACGTTTGTGAATGTGACCCAATATTACACTGCACAAGAACAAGGTACACAGAGCCAGGGCCGGCTGTCATCGCGGGCAAACAGAGACGAGAGTTATGAGCACTGCTGCATGACATCTACTCGATCGTAAGGGGAATATCAGTAATTCTACAGCTGATATGACTTATGTAGAACGCAAGGAATATAATACCCGATTTCGACGTCACACACATGATATTATAACGTCGTTGAACAGCGCTGAACATGTTAAGCTGTTATTGAGATCAGCTTGATCATAGGTATGTGGTATAGTCAAATGCTAATACGTTATCATTTGAGCCTTGTACTTACCAGATACATGGAACACGTGTCACAAACATACGTAAAGCGTCATCAAATAGTCTATTATTCATTAGACCCGTGAATATCCGGGGTAGAATATGTCTTCAGCAACCCATGCGTGCCGTAAGAGGCGACTATGCTTGTCGTAAGAGGCGACTAAAGGGATCGGGTGGTCAGGCTCGCTGACATGGTTGATACATGACATCGTATCCCAATTGCGTGGATCGATGCTCATGATGTCCGTCACTGGATTGCCTGGTCCACCCTCGAATTATTTACAGACCGCCGTCATATAGCTGGAATATTGCTGAGTGCAATGTTGAGTAAAACAAGAAACAAAAACAACAACAAATTATTCATTAACAGAATGTGTCGGGAACGCTGTAAAAGGCTACATAACCGCAATGTTCTATTATGCCATAAATTATACTGTAACACTGTACACGTGTACCATAATTTTAAAGCCATGTAGAAAGTGGGTTCTAAAGACTAAACCTGTGAAACTTGCCTTGATAAGAGTAAGTAAGTGAGTTTGATTTTACGCCGCTTTTAGCAATATTCCAGCAATATCACGACCAGAAATGGGCTTCACACATTGTACCCATGTCTGGAATCGAACCCGGGTCTTCGTCGTGACGAGCGAACGCTTTAAACACTGGGCTACCCGGCCGCCCCTGCCTTGATAAGACGTATAATTGGTCAAGTTATGTAAACATGTTGATAACTTTGTGTTACGTTCGTTGCTTCATACCTGTTTGTGTAAAATACTTTTAGCAATACTAACTCAGCACTTAACATGTCGTACAGTAAAATAACACATCGGTATTACATTTGATATATCCATACTTGTATCTCTACAGATAAGGAGACAAAAATATGAAGAAAAAAAAATATGTCCAATTTGCCCAGCAAAGTCGTCGTGCTCACTGCTGCTATACTTTCTAGTAAACCGTCCTATATGTGTACATGGCCGGATACTGCTTTTTTTAAAAGGGGGGGGGGGGGGGGGGGGGTGATCAATTAAGATCTATTTATTGTCTTTGGTGGTAATTTATACAGAAATAAAGATTTTTTTCGAAATAAAAAGGGGGTTAAACGTTGAGTATAAGGTTATTGCACTTATATAGCGACGTGCATGTACGCGTGTGTATGTGTCGTGTTTGTTTGTTGTTTAACGCCGCATTCAGCAATATTCCAGCTATATGACTGCAGTCTGTAATTAATCGAGTCTGGACCAGACAATCCAGTGATTGACATCATGAGCATCGATCAACGCAATTGGGATACGATGACAATGCATCAACCAAGTCAGCGAGCCTGACCACCCGATCTCGCTAGTCGCCTTTAACGGTAAGCATGGGTTGCTGTAGACCTATTCTTACCCGGAACTTTCACAGGTCTGTGAAGTATGCACAGAGGTTAATCAATGCGATAACGATCTTTGAGATGGGGATGTTTGACGTAAGTGTGCTACCTACAAAGCTCCTTTATTTCGACCGGAAATCCCACTTTTAGCATCACCCGGAAACAGTTAATCTGAGGTATAAACTATAGAGCGTTTCTTTATCCTTGGAGAGTGGCTCAGTCGAGAAATGGCGAACGGGTTAAATGGTTTCCGCTTGAGGATTATCCGATCCTTGTTCCCGATCTAGACTTTGATAAGTTTGACAGGTGTTGTCAAACATAGATGCTTAAAGCACAAGTTTAATGTACAGTCTGTAAAACCAAACGTCTATTGAACCAACTCAGTGGTATGGACACTGTTACCCGGATTCCAACATGGACTGAAGCCAGATGATGTTTGTTGTTTAACGCCGCACACAACAATGCTCCAGCTATATGACGGTTTTCTGTAAATAATCGAATCTGGACCAGACAATCCAGTGATTGATAACATGAGCATCGATCTACGCAATTCGGATACGAAGACATGCATCAACGAAGTCAGCGAGCCTGACAATCCGATCACGTTAGTCGCCTCTTACGACAAGCTAAGCCGCTTTTTACGGCAAGCCTGGGTTGCTAAAGACCTATTCTACCCCGGATCTTCACGGGCCCGGTTGGATTTTGACGTGGAATTGTATAATTGTAATTGTATAAAGATATAATTATAATTATATGACATTTACGAATCGACAGTTACGTCAGCAGTAGTCGTGTTTTGAAAATGCGTTTCTTTTCACTGACAGTATACATGACTGCCGCGTATTTCAGCTTAAATAATAATATAAAACATGCATACACACAGTCGTATATAGTCACGCACAAACGACTCTTCAAAACAAATTAATGTCTTTTTAATTGCCTTACGAGACAATTACATAAAGGCTCACCATCTAACCCCATACACGCCCCATTACATAACTCTATAACACGCAAGCCCCAATGCACTGTAGTTCAAGCTACGCCCTTCCAACGGACATTACAGCCGTACAGGTGTGAGACTCGTTTGTGGTTGTCGTGATACAGTTTATTGTCGCTACGGTCGACTATACAACCCGCGTAACCCCGCCACGTTCTATACTCATGTGTCACTCGAGGGCCATAATCGCAGATAGGATCTCTAAGTCCGGATAGAGAACATGGTCTAAATCCACTGGGTGAATACACTCTATTTGCGCATTAGTTACGCAGCTTGTTATCGCGACACTACAGTTACACTTTACGTATTGTCGTAATTTCATCTGGGGCGTAAGTCTTGGACAAGCTTCATATTCTTTCATAATTTGGTTACACCTTGTTTCATTGTTGTTAAAGAATTATCGTATCGTATTTCTTAGAAAGGGATTTTTTTTCGAAAGGTTGGTACGAGATAAACAGCTGTTTCCGACGTACTTTGATCTTGAAATTATCTGTTTAACCTGATCGGCACGCGATAAGATACAAGGTATCTTTTTCATCAATAACATGTAGACACATATTGAAATGGTATATTGGCTGCGGTGTCAACAGAAACTATCTGAAATATCAATTCAATAGGACTCAGTTATCAGAAACTGTACCATATGTGTTTAAGAAGCTTATTCCATTTCCAAAAGTGTGTTTTGAACAACTTTTTAAAATGCACATGTCAAACCAACACAATATCACCTTTTCGTTTATGACATGGCCCCTTGATTCGTATTGAACACCAATGATTGATCTTCTGTCATGGCTCGCCTAGAAACACGCTCTATACTAATTATCAAACTGATTGATTTTTGACTGATTGTCCACTTGAACGCGTTAGCTCCTTAAGAGTCCTAGAAACGCTAGAATTCCTGTACATAGATCATTGTAGATAAACCTGTCTGTGTTTACATACATTGTTCACTGGACCGCGACCAAACCCATGGTCCGTGTAATGTGTAGTTTGACAGGTACATTCACTTATGCTCATATTCTTTTAAAACTGAAATATAAAAAAATATCGTTAAAAACATATTCTCTTACATGTTGTGGGGGTAAAGTGAATTTGACTGGTGACATGGTTGAGCTTAGGAATCATTTACAGCTCTTCTGTGTCAATAGTGGAACCTCTCTAGCCTAGATACCATACCTTGCGCTTGGAATGTCACTGTAAACACAACGGACCTGTACCCCAGTGTAAACACAATGGGCCTGTACCTCAGTGTAAACACAATGGGTCTGTACTCAGTGTAAACACAATGAGGCTGTACTCAGTGTAAAGACAACGGGCCTGTACCTCAGTGTAAACACAATGAGGATGTACGTAAGTGTAAACACAATGGGCCAGTACGTCATTGTAAACACAATGGGCCTTTACCTCAGGGTAAACACAATGGGCCAGAACGTCAATGTAAACACAATGAGTCTGTACGTAAGTGTAAACACAATGAGGCTGTACGTAAGTGTAAACACAATGAGGCTGTACGTAAATGTAAACACAATGAGGCTGTACGTAAGTGTAAACACAACGGCCCTGTACGTCAGTGTAAACACATCGGGCCTGTACCTCAGTGTAAACACAATGGGCCTGTACCCCAGTGTAAACACAATGGGCCTGTACCTCAGTGTAAACACAATGGGTCTGTACTCAGTGTAAACACAATGAGGCTGTACTCAGTGTAAAGACAACGGGCCTGTACCTCAGTGTAAACACAATGAGGATGTACGTAAGTGTAAACACAATGGGCCAGTACGTCATGGTAAATATAATGGGCCTTTACCTCAGGGTAAACACAATGGGCCAGAACGTCAATGTAAACACAATGAGTCTGTACGTAAGTGTAAACACAATGAGGCTGTACGTAAGTGTAAACACAATGAGGCTGTACGTAAATGTAAACACAATGAGGCTGTACGTAAGTGTAAACACAACGGCCCTGTACGTCAGTGTAAACACATCGGGCCTGTACCTCAGTGTAAACACAATGGGCCTGTACCCCAGTGTAAACACAATGGGCCTGTACCTCAGTGTAAACACAATGGGTCTGTACTCAGTGTAAACACAATGAGGCTGTACTCAGTGTAAAGACAACGGGCCTGTACCTCAGTGTAAACACAATGAGGATGTACGTAAGTGTAAACACAATGGGCCAGTACGTCATGGTAAATATAATGGGCCTGTACTTCAGTGTAAAAACAATGAGGCTGTACGTATGTGTAAACACAATGGGCCAGTACGTCATTGTAAACACAATGGGCCTGTACCTCATTGTAAACACAATGGGCCAGAACGTCAATGTAAACACAATGAGTCTGTACGTAAGTGTAAACACAATGAGGCTGTACGTAAATGTAAACACAATGAGGCTGTACGTAAGTGTAAACACAATGAGGCTGTACGTAAGTGTAAACACAATGAGGCTGTACGTAAGTGTAAACACAATGAGGCTGTAAGTAAGTGTAAACACAATGAGGCTGTACGTAAGTGTAAACACAACGGCCCTGTACCTCTGTGTAAACACAATGGGTCTGTACCTCAGTGTAAACACAATGGGCCTGTACCTAAGTGTAAACACCACGGGCCTGTACCTCAGTGTAAACACAGTGGGCCTGTACGTTATGGTAAACACAATGGGCCTGTACGTCGTAAACACAATGGCCTTGTACCTCAGTGTAAACACAATGGGCCTGTACGTCAGTGTAAACACAACGGGCCTGTACGTCAGTGTAAACACAGTGGGCCTGTACGTTTCTAGTAAACACAGTGGGAAAATTCGTCAGTGTAAATCAGTGTGCTTGTACACCGCCGTTATGATTAAAACACAGACCATTTAAATTTGAGCAGACGTAACGGTTATTATGTTTATGATTTATTTTTGATTCATAGTAATTAACTTTGCTCAAATAAAATCTAATGCGAAAATGTGAAAAATGAAAAAAATATTTATTTGTATAATGTTCAAAATATGTTATTTTAGAACGACGATTTACTTCCACACAATCATAGGGGCACCACATTTTAATTTCATTTTGGAATCATCACTTGTAAATATCATTATTTTCATTGTTGGATTGGATCTGTCGACTGGACGTTTTTCATTGGACACGATACTGTCCATAGTAACGGAATACATTATAATGCCATTGGATTAATACTACTTAACAGTTTCTGGTTTCCAGGATCTTAAGAAACCTTGATTCGACCCAATACCCAACCCAGCCAGACTTTCACATACAACAGGAACACATGCACTAGTCGACATAGTTTATTAGTCTATCACAATGTTCTAGTGGACGGCAGAGAAACAAGTGTTGATATCAACCAGGCAAATATATTAAGCAACTGAAAATATGCATCTCCATCAATCATACATATATGGCAATATCTGATCATGCATTGTCACTGTCACCATCATGTAACAAGTTACAGTCGTCACCCAAGATATGCATTTGTATTGTAATAAAAGTATTCTTAGAAGAACTGTGTACAACATGCTTAAAACATAATACCCACGTAAGAATCTAACTATAATGATTTTCATCAGTCAATGTAAGTGTTTTGTTTGTTTATTGTTTAACGCCACACTCAGCAATATTCCAGCTATATGACGGCGGTTTGTAAATAATCGAGTCTGGACCAGACAATCCAGTGATTGACATCATGATCATCGATCCACGCCATTTGGATTCGATGACATGCATCAGCCAAGACAGCGAGCCTGACTACCCGATCCCGTTAGTCGCCTCTTCCAAGCATAGTCGCATTTCACGGCAAGCAAATCAAAAGTACTAAACCTTTCCTCTACAGTAAAACCTCGTTAATCCGGACACTGTTGGTCCATAAAACCACCTTCCAGGGGTAGTTGTGATAATTCGGGATACTTATTTCTACTTTCTGTATAATGAGGGCAAACCAGAAGAAAACTGTATTCTCTTTGATAACCATATAATCACAGTTTTCACATTTTAATATATTTTGGTCTTCATCAACTTCGCTATAACGCATTTTGTGTGCCTTATATGCGTCTATACACTATTGAAAGGAACATTCTTCGTACACGAGTAGTTATCTAGATTTGTTATTCATTACTGTTAAATCCAGATAACTTCACTGAGAAAGGTATCGTCCGGATTACGACGATTATCACCGTACGAATACAATATATATCAGCAAACGCCTAACCGTTATCATATTAAGGTAATAGCAGCTATTGTGATTTTGGTTAAAAGTATTTTATTGCTATCAAGACTGATCTGTGTACAACACACACTAGCGTCAGTAGAAGTCGTCGTCTTTGGTTTTTGTCGCTTCACGTCAATGTTTAGGAACACAAGTGAATTGAAATAACATAAATGTAACCATGAAATGTGCATGAAACACCAAAACTGTGAGGCATCACGTGAAATTGAAAACTAAACATCCTTAACTAAGCTTCTAAACACAATTAAAACATGATTCTTTGAAACAATGAAGTTTCGATAATGCACTGGGGGTAAGACACATGCACGCTTTCTTTTTTCCGCGAGTATGTACACGAGAACAAAGTACAGCCGTATTGTTTTCTCCTAATCTGTGTTGAGTTGTCCACCTAACACTATCCAACACTGCTCAACACTGCTCAACACTGCACAACACTGCTCAACACTAACTACAATGCAACACTGTCAAGTTGTTTCCTATTATGAAAATGTACAGAAAATGTCTTGTGAGATCAGCTATAACCCGATCGTTACTTTGTATTGACTGACTGAAGATAATCATCTTTAATGCGGGTAGAAACGTTAAAAACAAGATGTGAAGATGTACGCCGGATTCACACCCAGTGTTTTCAAGCATCATATCCTGATTCAGTTCGTAGATCTTCTACCTTTTTTACAGTTTCTCATCCTCCTCACTCTGTCACTTTTACCTAACGCAGACCACTTCCGCTTCCTGTAGTTCTGCAGTGAATACGTTTTGGAAAACTGGGTTTGTGTCCAGTATTTTCGTGATAACACCTTTTTGTCCGCCTGTGAAAAGGAGAAAAAAACGAAATGAATTTATTTAGAGATCGTTGGTTAATTCGCTGATATATGTGCCTTAACTATATTTCTGAATGCACGAGTTCATTTGCCTAATGATTCTCCGTTACATATCTAGTTTTTATCACGATGGACGTTACATAGCAGCAGGAGTGGCCAAGGCGTCTAAGGCGCAGGAATTCGCTGTGCAGAGTTCCGTCCCTTAGGCGTGCCAGAATCTGATAATAGTGGGTTTGAATCCCAGATTCGCCCTGATGTGGTAAACGTCTGAGACCTGTAAACCTTTCCTAGCATCAAGTCGACACGCCGTGATAAAACTGAATATATGTTAATAGCGGCGTTAACCACCCAGCTCAAGCAGCAGTACAACCTGCCTCAGTGTCCTTATAAAGGCTGAGCAGCTTATATTCACCTCGCCAGAAGCACTTGAGAGCCTTAGCCAGGGGGATGTGAATCTCCTCCTTCCCGCCGTGTCTCCTCATCGTGTATTTGAGAGCCTCCAGGAACTCAGACGATTTGTTGCCCGCTGAAATATAGCACACACCATATAAAGGTACAGTACATGTCAATGGCGCGCCCCGTGGCGTTCTGTGTCACCTGGCTAGATGGGTAAAGTAGGATCATTCTTTATAAGAGGTTACTAAGAACATATCAACGGGATCAGAGTTCTTCATTTGCTCAAGAACAAGGTTTTTTCTTATTTCACCACTGGACTTAATACTCAATCATAAGGAGAATGAAAATATTTGAATTAACTATATTGAACACAAGCAAGTCTTTGTTGCAATACCAAGATCCAAATTAAAAACAAACATGACGGTTTAATAACTTTAAGTGGCATTTTTGAAGCCCTAATATCCAGATAATGTCTTTGGGTTTTTTTCAAAGGGATATTTCCGTACAAGTTCTAGTACTTTTATCAATCACCTGTCGTATGATGGCTTAATAACGGTATTGACACCTGTATCGAAACGTCCCATGACGGCTTCATAACGGCATTTGCACTTGTACCGAAACGTCGCATAAGGGTCTAATAACAATATAAGCCCCTGTACCTAACAGTCGCATGAAGGCTTAATAACGGCATTTGCACTTGTACCGAAACGTCGCATGAGGGTCTAATAACAATATAAGCCCCTGTACCTAACAGTCGCAAGAAGGCTTAATAACGATATTAGCACCTGCACCGAGGTGGAGAAATGTAGTTTTGCGTCGCATCCAAAGATTATTGCACTTATATAGCGACATGCATGCATGTGTGTGTGTGTCTGTGTGTGGCTGCTGGTACTCGTCTGGACTGATGCCGATATATTGTGCTAGCTCACTGAGATACCATGCCGCAGTTTAACATGAATACCCCACTCAGACACAGTATACTGACTGCGAGCAGACTTGTTTTAGCCCCTTAATGCAGAGCACCAGACAGGGTAACAACAAGTACCATCTTTTAACGTCTTTAGGTATGACGAGGCAGAGGATCGAACCCCGAACCTTCCGCTCTCCGGGCGGACGCTCTACCACTAGACCACGGAGGCGGTCGAGCATAGGAATATATAGAAATAGAAATACATATGTAAACTCTGCCTTCAGTTTTCCGATTAAACGAAAATCGTAACCAACCTGTGGGGTTACACTGAGCGATGGCGCTGCAGGCACAGATTTGAATCTCTAAATTCTCGGGAAATCTCGCCATCGCGCCGTAGACGAGATCTTGGATTGTATGAAACAAAGCTGGGTTTCGAGATGATTCTGCAACAATATAACAGTACTTAAAAGAAACAGAATAAAAATCTTAAAAATACAAAGTCATGGTATAAGTATGACCAATACAACGTCACGAGGCTGTTTCCAAGATGGCGTCCCTGCAACACGAGGTTACTGATACAAACTTCAACTTACTAACTCACGTGACAGGCATAGAAAAGTTCAATGCTACAAGGTTTGTTTGTTTGTTTGTTGTTTAATGCCGCACTCAGAAATATTCCAGCAATTTGACAGCGGTTTGTAAATAATCGAGTCTGGACCAGACAGTCCAGTGATTGACATCGTGAGCATCGATCCACGCAATTTGGAAACGGTGACAAGCATCAAGCAAGTAACATACAAAGTAATGCCGCCATTCATATTTGGAATGTTTAGAGATCCCTTTGTTGTTTTAAGCCACAGTCAACAATATAGTCCAGCCATATCATGGCGGCCTGAAAATATATAATCGAGTCTGGGCCAGAAAAAAACCCATAGGTTTATATGTATGAGCTGTGTCTCGTGCCACTGGGTACTGTGACATGGACCCAGCTAAGTCATCGTATGATCACTCAATCTGATTTATTCTTACATAATATAAAGCAATAGTCAGTGAGTGAACATGGTTTTACGCCGCTTTTAGCAATACCACGCGGGAGGAAACAAGAAATGGGGTTCACACATTGTGCTCATGTGGGGTATCGAGCCCGGCCGTCGAGGCGACTAGCGAACACTTTAACCACTAGGCTAGCCCACTGCCGTGCGGGAGGCTCAGCCTCGGTACACAAGGGGAGTTATTAATAATACAGACATGAACGAATACAGTATCGGAAGTAAATAATATATATCGATTATGGTTCGACAGAGACAGGAGAGTGAAACACTTGACCTACCGACGGGCGAGAGGTTAGCGAGAGCCATGAGTGCCACAGCGTGGAGGCGATCTTCCCCTGGGTGCAGATCTAAAGCGTCTGAGATGCGCAGCACTCCATCGTTTTCTAGCACGAACGCCGCCAGTGATCCTATAGATAACAGTGGTCAATAATTCATATGGAAAACATGTGAGTGAATGCTGCTTAATGCCGCAGTCAGCAATATTCCAGTTATATCACGTGGCCTCTCCAGTCTGGGAGGAAAGACTGGTGACAGAGAGCAGGAACAACGACCCGCGTTATCTGGTACGATGACGTGCAGTGACAGCGTCTGGCCAACTGGTCCAGTATCTAAGTTGTCTCAACAAAAGCGAGTATCTAAGATTCTTTAAGGCACACCCTTAAGTATGACTCTTAATTGGTAACCTTCAAACAACACCATAATATATAGCCTACACCAAGCGGGCAACAGCTTTGTGAATGCCAATAATTAATTTTGCATGCCAACATTGGTCAGTTATACGTTTTTTAATACATTAACAGGACTAGAATGCTTCAAAAAGGGTGATGAAGGGGGAGCCGGGGAGTGGGAGGGGTGCCCCCCCCCCCCCCGACACACACACCCCTTCCAATGTTTCATCTGAAGCCAATTTCCACATACCATTGTTTTCACTGATGCATGACAGAGCTCCACATCCCACAATCTGCAAATCCTTGGAGTCGCTGTATGTTTTCATTGCGTGAAGTACACTCCTTACAGCGTCTGTTGTCATTTCATGGCGGACATCTGCAAATGGACAGAAGATTTTAAGTCGCACACTTAGGCAGTAAACAATAAATACACGGTGTATTTTCGTTATAAAACCCCAAAAGGAAATACATCTCTCCTGACCATTGTGTGTACCAAAAATGCCGCGCACTTACCCAGTGCTACAACAGCGATGATTTTACAGCCGCACTGAAGGATCTCGGGGTGGGCACTGAATTTCTGCATCGTGGTCAGTATCACATCGAGTCTCTTCCCGGACATAAACACGTGCATACCGCGCTCTGGAACGCATCAAATCAAAATATGATTAGCTATACAAAAAAATTATAGATTGAGAATGTTTTACGTCACCATTTCAGCTTTATCTATCGTGCCAGACAGTATTACATTGACAAGCAATGAGCAAGGTCCATCGTTATGTCCACACTAACGTCTCTTATTAAGATATGGTGTACTGAGAACCAGTTTCCATAGAGCTCTGCATATAGACTAAAACTGTGTCTATAAAGACATATCTTTTAAATAATTGTAATTATTTTCCTCCACTGCTGAGAAATCAAGGAAATTAGACGTGGTTTATTTATTTTTTATCTAGGCTAGCTTTGACGTTAAATCTTTTAGTAAAAAATAATATGTTTTTTTTACAAAGATATAAATTCCCCAGCCGTGGCGTAGGGCTACTTTTCGTAAAGTTTCGTTCTCTCAATGTACCTGTATTTAGAAGGTTCTCGAACGTCTGACAAACGAACAACGTGATGTCAGCGTCCAGCGACGGCAGTGACAACATCCTCGTCATCGTCCTGTCAATCATCTCAACCTCCTCTGTGCTCAGATCTACAATACAACCATTAATGTTAATGAAGACACTTTGCAACAGTATAGATACACGATTAATAGTCCACAAGAAACATAAGAAGGGCTGCTGAACTGTGTTTCATGGTATCCCTCAAAGACCTGCATTAATCGGAGTTGTCGTCACACAGCAAACTGACACGCTGTGAAATTCATGAAGTACCATTCAAAGCAGCGATAAACCAAACCCACTCACTCACTAATTTTAAAATAATGTTGCTTACATACTGAAATAACACCGTGAATAGAACCTCCCTACAAGGTAAAAGGCGAAATTGAAAACTCCTTATGTTCATTTTCACAAATGAGGAAGATTTACCATTTTCGTCCAGAAAATGCTAAAAATTGAACCAAAAGCCGTAAGAAGCTGAACCATTTTTAACATTCCTTAATAACGGAAAGTGAAACTTCTTTAGTACGGAGTCTCCGGACGTCATGGGTCGGAACCTCCGCTTTGAGGATAAGTATTTTTGTAAGTCCTTCACACATACATATACAGTCCACTGTTGTGTAACAATGTACCGTCTGTATTAACGGGGTTTCACTGTTTAGAGGGTCTGCTTACTTTTCAGTCGCGAGAGCCCACAAAGCACCATGGCGGCAAACACCTGAATGTCATGATCGACGCTGTGACCACGTGCTATGTCCACCACTGTCCGCAGTCCACGTTCGTCCATCACAAGCCGGCATACCTCGTCTGTAACGAAACAGAGGGGTCAGTTATACAAAACACGACCATGTGAAAACAGGTACGTAACAATAACATCCTAGTGAGGTAGCACAGCGGCTTTTGTGTTCGCACATCGAACATCGTGAGTTTCTGTCCCCATATCTACACTGTAACTTCTGTCATACAGATCCTGAAACAAATATATCCAAAACAGCCCATGCAAGTCTATTAAGTTTGGCAAGTCTAGATTACTGCAGTATGAAAATGAAGAAAGACTCTTGGCTCTTTTGTATTATTTTTTATAACTATAATTTAACAACTGTTTTTTTCTGTAAAATATGTTCATTTCAGACACTAGATTTTAGTATAATTTTTGGTGTCCATCCCGTTATCTGGCTGCCAAATTGCTGGATCATTTAATCGCCTTCTTCAAGTCAATGAGTGAGTGCAACTAGGGAGATTATTATTGTTCAATATCCTTTTAATGATATGCAGTTTTGATATGAAAAGCACAACATAATATGTTGAACTCACCAAGTTCGACGATGTTGCCCAGTGTCTTCAGTGACGACAAGATGATGTTTGGACGACTGTCAAAATTTTTGAGAGAACTCAGAAGCGCAAGGACACCGCCATTATTCTTAACACGGATTTTGTTGACTTTAACTGCAATGAAAATGTTCAACATTAATGTCTACAATATTAATTATAAATGTTATCACAAACACCATTGCAAGTATTTATATTAAAAAAAACCCCAATGCTGGTAATATCAATTCACATACAGTAAAGTACATTTATAACGAACACGCTTATAACGAACTGACGGATATAACGCACTGTTTTTTAGTCCCGACTATTTGCTATAGATATGCTGTATATATGCTTATAACGAACTACGGTTATAAGAAACTAAAGTAAGTGGTCCCTTCGAGTTAACCGTACTTTTACTGTACATGATTTGAAGTTACAATTAACTGACCATGACACTGGTAAAGAGATGCCCATCAATCTGACGTCACATTCCCGTGAAAACGACGAATAACACATTACTATCGAAATATATGTTCGAAATGCTCTTTTAATTATAATAATTACTCTACACCTATCACCGGAAAACGGAACTCCCCGACTACGGTGTCCGTATTAACGGGGTTCCTCTGCGTATGATATACTCACTGTCAGCAGTGAGGTTCATCAGCGCCATGCAGCCATATTCCTGTATATCCTCGCACGTGTCAAGAGCCAACATGGCGGCGATCACCACGCGAGAGGCGCCCTCTTCTTCCGTTTGACGTCTGATGGTTTCTGTTGATCAGCAGTAGAGATGTTGAGTGAGTGAGGGCTAAAGACACTTTTGGAAAAAGATAGTGGAGCTTGATTCTACCGTGAGGATTACTATGATGATACTACTGTATGGTTAGAACGACTAATAGAACCTATTTGCAGCAACACTTACCATTGACAGCCAAATTCCCCAGGATTCTACAACCATGCTCTTGAATGGCAATGTCCTCTGGGTGTACGTCCATGATGGTCACGACTGACCGCACACCTCCCTTCCTCAGGATACAATGCTGCATTTCATCTGTAAAGCAGAAGATGTGGATACAGATCAAGTGAACAAGATTAAGATCAAGTGAACAAGATAAAGATCAAGTGAACAAGAATGCAACACAGTTAATGTGACTTTCAAACTCACAGGCATGTTTCTGTTCTGTTTTGTTTCGTATTAAACGCCGCACTCAGCAATATTCAAGCTTCATGACGGCAGTCTGTCAATAATCGAGTCTGGACCAGACAATCCAGTGACTGACATCATGAACATCAATCCACGCAATTGGGATACGATGACATACATCAAGTCAGCGAGCCTGACCGCCCGATCCAGTGAGTCGCCTCTTACGACAAGCATTGTCACCTTTTACGGCAAGCATGGGTTGCTGAAGACCTATTCTACCCCGGATCTTCTGTAGTATGACAGCGAGTGAGGTATAATTCAATTTGGGAATTCGGAGCTTCTAGCTAACGTCTTTCAGCGGCAGCCTACCGTCCAACCTTCAATAATCCCCCAGTGGATGAATACAAGAAAGGATTCCATGTAAAACTCAACGATAAACAACCTGTAAGTGTCAGATCATTTTAGGGAGATATGAGTCCTTCATATTTCTTTAAATCATGACGAATATTTACCTCCACACATCGCAATCTGGCTGAGGGCGAACATGACTTGACCCTGAAGCTCCACGTTGTCGGAGAACTGTGACATGAGCCGCTGTAAGATCGACAACACCCTCTCAGTCGACACCGACTGTATCGTCGTCTCTGTAATGGCGGAGGTTTGTGTAAGTTGTATTCACGTCATGAAAATAGTTTGACATACAACCAAACGATCACCGGCCGTGTCATACCAAAAGACATTAAAAGATGATACTTGTTGTTACCCAGTCTGGCGCTCGGCATTGAGGGGCCAAAACAAGGACTGGTCAGCTCGGAGTCAATATTCTGTGTGTGAGTGAGGTATTAATGTTAAACTGCGGCATGGTATCTCAGTGGGCTAGCATTATAAAATCGGCATCAGTCCGGACTAGTACAAGCAGCCACACAAACACGTGCATGTACGTCGCTATGTAAGTGCTATAATCTTGGACACGACGTTTAACCCCATTTCACCTCACCAAACGAAGGTAACTTCGGGAATACACAAAATGTCAAAACATGCTTCAATTTATGATGCATGGGAGTTCTCTGGTGGTGATGGAAACACCAAACACGAAAGGTACTTCTCCACATCCTGGTGTTAATTTCTAATGTAGGTCTAGATATTGTACGTTTTGCAAGCTATGAAACTGTTTCTGTGTGTTCGGTTAGGATGATAACATGTCAGTGAGCAAACAAGCAAAGTGTATGTAACATGACTTTCAATCTTCCCCAAGCTTTGTCTCCTTTACAGAACGATAGGACGATATTGTTAAATTCAAACCTCCGAAACATCTCCGGGTACGTTTTGCAAATTTCTCTTTGAAGCACAAAAAGATAAGAATTCACAGCGAAGCGACTGGATTAGATATACATTTTCAGTAGATTGGGGCACCTTCTATAGATTGTAAAACAGTTTTCGGTGTATGGCAGATATGAACCAGTCCTAATTATGGATCACAGAAACTTGCACTATTTGTTTTGACCCACGTGTACTGCTTAAACATGAACACCCATGTCCTACGTACCGAGCGCCGCCAGGTTACAGATGGTTCTGACCCCATACTCCTGCAGGCTCTCCTCCTCCGGGTGTTCCTCCAGGGTGGCCAGTAGGGCGTACACCCCGTCCAGCTGATGCATCTCCTCACAGGAGTCGGCTGGGGACAGAGATACACACTGTGACAATAACATGATGACAGGATCACAGGGGCAATGGTCGTTATGTGTTTGTGGCCTCGCAACTCGTGTTGCATCCCTTATCCGGGCCAGGATCCGCCAGTCCTGGGATCAAACCTAATTCTTGGTTCATCAGCACTACATGTATACATGTCGGTTCAACCAATAACAATTTGGTAAATTTCGTAGAACTGCATCTGTTTGGTATTTCTACTAATCTTAAGACCCGTTGAGAGCCGGGGTAGAATAGGTCTTCAGCAACCCATGCTTGCCGTAAAAGGTGACTAACGGGAGCGGGTGGTCAAGCTCGCTGACTTGGTTGATGAATGTCATCAATTGCATGGAACGATGCTCATGATATTAATCACAGGATTGTCTGACCCAGTACTTTTAAAAATATCTACACAACGCAGCACATTTACCATCAACTTTTTCGACCCGGGAAGATCAGTGTTCAGCAACCCATGCTTGTCGTAAAAGACGACTTGCGGGATCGGTTGGTCAGGCTCGCTGACTTGGTTGATGCATGTCATCGTATCTCAATTGCGTGGATCGATGCTCATGATGTCAATCTCTGTATTGCCCGACCCAGACTCGATTATTTACAGACCGCCGTCATATAGCTTGAATATTGCTGATAGCGGCGTTAAACAACAAACAAACAAAACAAAACGAATCTTAACCCGACACGTTGTTCAACTCACTCAAACATAAACGACACGTGTGTAAATTAGGAGCGATTTTACCGACACAAATGGAACAGAGCACCTAAACACAATGCCACTGCACAATGTACGGTTAGTGCCAGCAACTTTACCAGTCACATTTCGATATCTAACTCATTTCATGGACTATTTCTGTATCAAATCCTTACCCATGGTAGAGAGACAAGCAAGTGCCCAGCAGCCACACTCAAGGACACAAACATTGTCCGGTGATGACGTCATAGCGTCCAAGACCGATCTGGTGCCTCCGGCCTGACCAACGTCCAGACATGTATCATCTAGAAAACACACACAATGTTCATATCATCATCAACTTCATGTGCCATCTTATTGCTTTGCTTAAACTCCCCTTGATTGAGACATAATCGATTATTGAGACTTTGTATGCGTACCTTCAGACAAGATAATGACATAACTTTCATGGACATGATTTTTTAAGATCTGTTTCGCCTTCATAATTAACGCTGCAATTATTAGTTTGGTCTCTCAGCACAATGATGCGCTTGTGCAGGGCGCCGTTGTACAAAACAACTTCAGCCCTACGACTGTCGTCAATCTATGTTAAGGTATGGCAGAGACGATCACATCAGCGCTAAGATCGTTTCGTACAACGGCACCAAGAACCCTTATTAGCTGCCCAATTTCGCTGTTCAAAATGCTCCCTTTTTCGATCCTTGGGTCAGTGATTTCAACAACACTACCGCTCTTCGCGATAAGCTGTTGGTCGGCGTTAAACCCTGCATAACAAATAAATTCGATTTGTAAATGTTTGTAATTACCATAAGCCGCAAAGCTCCCCAAGGCACGACAGCCATTTTCCAAGATGTCGACATCATCCGGGAATGTTTCCATCATGTCAATGACGGTGTGAACCCCGCCCACAAGCATGATCTGCTTGGCGGTTTCAACTGTAACATACAAGAACTATAGGCATTAAGTACAATGGCTACAATCAGACCAGTTCACTGTTTTCGCTCAGAAGAATAAAAACAGGAAATTATGTATATCCCGAGGTTATGAATATATAGGAGACGTATTCAGATCACGGGCAGATGTGATGCTATTCACGATATCATTGGGGTTCACGCTGACCTAAAGTCACCATGTTACAAAAAGCCGTGTCACAGCAGTATGCGTCCTGATATGATAAAATCAGTTGGTTGGCAAGATGATATGAAGGTGTTCGTGGATATCTTGGGCATCATCGTTTACCCACACTTAGTCATGATGTATGTTTTATTTGTTTGTTTGTTTGTTTGTTGTTTAACGCCGCATTCAGCAATATTCAAGCTACATGACGGCGGTCTGTAAATAATCGAGTCTGGACGAGACAATCCAGTGATTCACATTATCAGCATCAATCTACGCAATTGGGATACGATCAACCAAGTCAGCGAGCCTGACCACCCGATCCCGTTAGTCGACTCTTACGACCAGCATGGGTTGCTGAAGACCTATTCGAACCCGGATCTTCACATCTCGTTATACGCTCCCGTGAGCAATGCAACAATATCACGCCATTGGGGCGATAGAGGACATCACTACATTTTACACTTGTAGGAAATGAAGCCCGGGTTTTCGGCGTACTGAGGCGACTCTCTAAACATTGGGTTACCCTCCCGCCCATTGCTTGGAAGAACGTATGGAGAAGGAACTCAACATGATTTAAAAAAAGATGTTAAAATTAATGTATTTAGCAATAATTTAGATTAATAAATTATATTGTGGGAGTTATTTTTGTAAATGTTTCAGAATCTTTTTTTTAATTTTAAACATTATCTTAATTCTCAGATTTCAAGAGAGCCACCATAGTGGTGGTTAAATCATATTCACGCCGAAAACACGGATTTTCGATTCCTCCCATGGGTACGTACAGTGTATGAAGCCCTTTTCTGGATTCCCACGTGGTTTTGTAGGAATATTGCTTAAAGTTAACATTCCAGCGCCGCATATGCAGCTTCGGGTGTATGATCCTAAAGGAGCTGAGACATTCTAGTGCACACTGATGCATTGACTGAGGTTATCATAATACACACAAGGACGGGTATTATGCTGACAAACCTAGAAACTTAATCGGGGCGAACCGGGATTCCAATAATTTAGTTTCTGGCGAGCGAAGTTGACGCAAATATGCACAGCAAATTACGGCGCCTTACACGACTCGGCGACCCTTTCCCCCCACATAATTAATAACGAAACGTTAACAACAAAAGTAGTCGTTATGTCCGTCAAATAGTGCAAATCAAAAGCTGTTCCAAATTGTCTTGGGAAATGGTTTGACAACGAAGGCGATTAGTTGGTGACCCACTTCATTTAAGTAACGTGAGTCATGAGAGAAAGTTTATAATTTCCAAAGCGGATGTCCCGAGCTGGTACTATGTTACACCTATACTGGGGCCGGGAAGTATGTATGATAATGCCCGTATGTAACGAGCGTTAGCAGCCAGCCAGGCAGAAATAGCACGATCCAGGTGAGACTGACGTCAATACAGGTTTCGTGACTTCCCTCTTTAGCCACATTTTCTTGGAATTGCAACCTTGCCTGAGGAACACATTTATGGGAGGAGAATATCCATATATGTTGCTGATGAATACTAAAGACGGAGATAGGAAGGATGGAAGGGGATTACATTACTGCATTTCAGATAGAGAGAGGAGAGATGAATACCACTTTTTGATCCAACAACAAACAACGACAAGGATCACATGTCTACGGAAGCCTTTGAGGGATGTTTGTTTTATGGGTTTTTCTTGAAATTTTAAGATACATAAGTTGAAATTTCAAGATACTAACTTGAAATTTGAAGATGTTATGTTCAACTGATACATCTTCAAATTTCAATAAGAATCTTCAAATTTCAACTTAGCATTTGATAATTTCCAGATAATAAATTGAAATCTCCAGATGATAAGTTGAAATTTCAAGTTATAATCTTATAATTTCTTGTAATTTCAACTTAGTATCTTGAAATTTCAAGACCAAAATAAAAAACCCAAATGGCTTTCATATATATCGGATATTTGCCAACTACGCCTTTAACCACTAATAAATGATGAAGCTCACCTGTTGTGACAAGGTTGCCAAGAATAAAGAGGCATTGTTTTATAATAGAGTTGTCATCAGCATGTTGCGACATGGCCCCCAGGACTTGCGAGTGACAGCCGTATTGTAGCAGCTGCACGGACAATTCATCTGCAGACAGAATAACGCACAATTGTTACAAAAAGGAATCAAATACAGTACAAATCCCGTTAATACATAAATCACCCGGCTTAAAAAATGTCCGGATTAACATTTTATTGGCATGAAGTGATGCCCCTTTGTGTATATTGAGACGTTAAAATATTCATCCAGGGTTTTTCGACTAACTGGGTTTAGTGTGTGTCCATTTCGATCTTTGACGTAATCTGACTTGACGTTATCTAACATCTTGCAGATGCATGTCATTTATGCGTACAGATCAAGCGTAGTGTGTCTGCAAGTAGCAGGTTATACCTTCGGATGGACAGTTGATGTAAAATTGATACTGCTGCAGAAAATACGGCATATTATCATCATTACCACTTGAGGAGATATAGCCGATGATGTTGAGCAGGATCCGGATGAGGCGGACATTCTCCGAGTAGCTCTTCATTACCGTCAGCAGCACAGGGATGCCTTGATTCTGCTGGATGATGTAACAATTGGCCTCTGAAAATATAAAAAACCAGCACGGTTATGTAACCACACGATGAACTTTGTTAGGGTAATGATCAAACGCAATAATCAGATCCTCAGATCACCGCATTAATATAACTCATTTTGGAAATTCATTTGCCACAACAAGATTTTTTTTATGTTTTCAAAGTAGCCGACCCTGACTACACTGTCCTCATACCTGACGCCGATGCCATTTGTAGGAGTGATGCGCATGCGCTGAACTGCAGTTCCGCCTTGTCAGGAAACGTGTTCATCGCCTCCAGCACACAGCGGATGGCGTCCTGTTTGGATAACAGCACATGCAGCGTCTCTGAAACATCATCAGCAATGAGTGAGTGAGTATTGTTTTACGCCGCTTTTAGCAATATTCCAGCAATATCACGGCGGGGGACACCAGAAATGGGCCTCACACATTGTACCCATGTGGGGAATCGAACCCGGGTCTTCAGCGTGACGAGCGAACGCTTTAACCACTAGGCTACCCGACCGCCCCTATAAGCACTGAAGGTATGGGATGCAACAATATTTGAACTGTTCTCTGATGTCACCACGGGCCATCTTTAATAATGACGCAGATTGCAGACGATTACCACACTGGTCAAACCCCCAAGCAAGTATGGTGCTACCAAAGGAACATACATTTTGTAAGGCCGTATCGTGGATTCGAACACAATCAGAGTATCCTTGCAAAGATTTGACACGCAACGCTGTACAGTTGATGTTCCTTCATCATTAAATGGTAAACTTTGCAAAGCAGATAGAGTTATCAAATAATAAATATTATAGTATTATGATCCTAAACAGCAAGAAAGTTGGCAATGTTTTGGATATATCAACATGTCTGAAATACGTCCGATACGGGGTTGAAGTTTTACTCACAGCCAAGTGGCGTATTGTCAACGGAGACAGCGCCTGTTATAACAGACTGATAGCTATGGTGGCTCACACTGTATACATACCCATGCTGGCATATGTCCCAACACTTTTACATCCCAGCAACTGCCGCTCGTAGTCCTCCGTATCCTCACGCATGCGCTTCACACATGTCCGGATTGAAAACTTGCGCTCATTTGTATTAAGTTCTGAAAGATTAGTTACAAACAAATATGAATATGCATTTCACTCGCCATGCAAACCACATGAACGGAATAAAACATGAACATATCTGTAGCATCATCATATCATTTCCTCTTATGGTAATGGACAGTACTGAGTGACACTGATTCCCGACAATTTGACAATAATGAACTGGATTCTTTGAAAATGCAATAAATAAAAAAATCATAAACCAATCATATATATGAAAGTATCACGAACAATTATTTATACGCTATCTATGTACTGAGAGGATCGAAATTTCTCCAATGAAATTACATCACAAGCAAAACAACTGACATTTCTCAATGAATACATACCGTCATTTGTTGAATCTTTTCTCGACCGTTTTGGCTGGTCCTCGGTAATAACCGTCAAGCCTTGTCCGGGGATCTTGTCGAGCATGTTGTCTGGACTGTCTGAAATATACAAGTGACACAAAACTCTACATGTAAGCTTGACATTGACCGATGTGGGATCATGCATTGCTTATCAACTACCATTGTGATCAACCTGACCTGGGGGTCATTTTAAAGGTCAAGATCGACGTTGGAATAAGATAAACGTACAGTGAGATCTATTATACATTAGATAATTGACTGTTTGATGTGAAGTGGTCGTCATGAGATAAGTATATAAGCCAAGATATGATAAACGTATCAGCACGTATGTTCTACTGCCCTTAATGTGCCAGTTCCTTTGAACTGTGATGATTTGACAAAGTGTGCAGAGTTATTCGTTTATTACACAAGTGGTGCAGTGAAGCGGCACATCGTAATGACGCGCTAAACTGCTATAAACCGTCATTGGATAATTTGATCATCTTCAAACCGTTTAGAGACATAAAATATACGCTTAACATGTAATAAATTTAAATTGACAATGTGAAAACCTGTGTGTCGACACGTATTCACAAATTATATATTAAATTGTTATAATTATATAACTGATTTAGAGGTAACGCCATTTGATTTAAATAAACCGGTGTCTATAGCATGTGGTTTGCGCAGTTGATGTAAAATATGCCCTCAAATTAAGTTGTTTATATAATGATGATATGACACATAAAGCAACAAAAACATTTCAATAATCACAAGAAATCTCCATTGTACGATTCCGACGATATATAAGGATGTGTGAGCGTATCCTTCTCTACCAATACAATATATTACGTTCAGTACGTTTAAATAGTTTGCACATCGTAACACATAGATTACTAACTCTTGTTGGGTCACCACAGAGGGGTGCGCGTAGCCAAGTTGTCTAAGGCGACACGATTCGTTGTGAAGAGTTGCGTCGCTTGGGCACGCCAGAAACCTATGATTGTGGGTTGGAATCCCAGTTAACCCCAATTATGTTTCTAGGTTTGTCAGCACCATACCCGTGCTCGTGGGTTTCACCGAAGTGGTAAACGTCTGAGGCCTGCGTCACTTCGGGCTTTCCTCCCACATTAAGCTTACACGGCGTGATATAACTGGAATACTGTTAAAAGTGGTGTTAAACCCAACTCACTCACTCACTCACTCACTCACCACGGGCGTTACCGGTAGAGCAGGCTAGACATGTCGTTTCGCGAACACCTGATGTCATTGTCATAAGACAACGCTGAATCATGCATGGGTGTTGGTTTGAATGAAGTATCCATTTGGCTTTTGATCACTTGAGGCTGTTTGACACGCTTACCATCACGATTTCTCATGAACAATGTATGCATATATATGACGAAAGCAGTCTCAATAAGGATATATATTGGGCGGTAGGGTTCAGGGCACGGGTGGTACAGTCGTCTAAGGCCAGAAACCTATGATTGTGGGTTGGAATCCCGGTTCGCCCCAATTATGTTTCTAGGTTTGTCAGCACCATACCCGTGCTCGTGGGTTTCACCGAACTGGTAAACGTCTAAGACCTGCATCACTTCGAGCTTTCCTCCCACATTAAGCTGACACGCCGCGATACAACTGGAATATTGTTAAAAGCGGCGTTAAACCCAACTCACTCACTCACTCAGGGTATGGGTACAATGTGTGGAGGCCATTTCTGGAGACCCCTGTCGCCATATTACTTGAATATTGATGAAAGTGGCGTACTACCCAACTCACTCACTATATAAGTATATTTTATAAATCCTTACGTGTCTTTCCATTTAAGTTGAATTTATTTGATGTACAGACCAGGAGTAAAATTTTACAGAAAATGCTACAGTGAAACTCGATACTTTGAACTCCATTCAATCATTATTTTCATGTTCCCAGCGGGATCCTTATTGACATTTCAGTCTAATAACAATCCATTTTCGAAGGTATCCTGCATTTCACTGTAACGATGATTAAACGTTACTTGATAAATGAACTATTATCATATCATATTTAGTGTGTATTTGTTTCAGAAAACAGCAAAATAAATCGTTGTGGCCATTTTCAGTTAATTAAACACAGATGTAGTGTATAAAATTCAACTTCCGTGAATTGTTTTCCATGAACGACTGTGTTTGCAAAACATGTCATTTGAAAAACGCCCTTTCCCTCATGCTTATTTCTAAAAGTTCTTATGTTATACAAAATATAACGTAGAAACCATCTTAACAATCACAATGCAACTATGGTATAGAATTGGACGAACAATGTTTGGTATACATACTGAAAAAAACGTACAGTAATTTTGAAAATATCTATTCAATGAAACACATTCACCATCAACTCTTTCGACCCGTGAAGACCCGTGTTCAGCAACCCATGCTTGTCGTAAAAGACGACTTGCGGGATCGGTTGGTCAGGCTCGCTGACTTGGTTGATGCATGTCATCGTATCCCAATTGCGTGGATCGAGGCTCATGATGTCAATCACTGTATTGCCTGGCCGAGATTCGATTATTGACAGACCGCCGCCATGAAGCTTGAGTATTGCTGAGTGCGGCGTTAAACAACAAACAAACACATCAACTACTGCGTGTTGATACAGCAAGGCTAAACGAGATAGACGGATAACTTACTGCTGTGGGTAGCCTCATCTCTGGTTGTAGATGGTTCTGCCTCCGTGATAGCGGCCAGGCCCATCCCTGGCATCTTTTCGTGCATTTTGTCTGGTTTGTCTGAAACATTGGTCAGTATCTGATGAAGGAATGTCGATGATTGTTACATCAATATTGTTCTCGATCGCGAGGTGCAAAATGTTTTGAATATTGATGAAAGTAATTTACCTCCGTGTATTTTTTATTTTTATTTATTTATTTATTTATTACTTTAAACATATTTTATTTTATTTTATTTTATTTTATTTTATTTTATTTTATTTTATTTTATTTTATTTTATTTTATTTTATTTTATTTTATTTTATTTTATTTTTTTTGTTTTGTTTTGTTTTGTTTTGTTTTGTTTTGTTTTGTGGTGTAGAAGGTAAAACCTCGTGTCCATGACCAACAGGCCAGGTAAAAACACCGAGCCAGCCACATGAGATGGCGGGGGTCGATATGAAAGGGACCAACATTAGATCGTTGTTCCAGTATATCGACGATACGTCGAGTTCAATGAGTTTGAGTCAACGAGATTTCACTGTTTGCGAAAAGGTGAGCGTATCGGGCCCAACCAATACCGGTGACCACATATTACGTCCAGTACGTTTAAATAGTCTGCACATCGTAACACATAGATTCCTTGCTTTTGTTGGGGCACATGACTGTGTCGTGATCTCGACCTTTACTCACCACAGGCGTTACCGGTAGAGCAGGCTAGGCTTGCCGTTTCCCGAACACCTGATGTCATTGTCATAAGACAACGCTGAATCATGCATGGGTGTTGGTTTGAATGAAGTATCCATTTGACGTTTGATCACTTGAGGCTGTTTGACACGCTTACCATCACGATTTCTCATTAACCATGTATGCAAATATATGACGAAAAGAGGGCTCACAGCATGGGCACCATGTGTGAAGACCATTTCTGGAGTCCCCTGTATGATATTACTTGAATATTGCTAAAAGCGGCGTCACACCTCACTTACTCTCTATAAACTTATTCATAATCATAACTTGTGTTTCCTTTTAAATTTAAGTTAAAGTAATTTGACTAGGCCAGGAGTGAAATTTTATAGAATATAGTACAGTGAAACTCAATACTTTGAACTCAATATCTTATGGTCCAAGGAGAATTCTTAGTACCATTTCAGCCTAATATCGGCATAAGTCTCCAACTAAAGATAACTCGATCTATTATCTTTTTTGAGAGCGGCGTTGAACAACTAGTAAATTATTCAACTCTGTGTGTTGATACAGGACAAGGTTAAACGAGGTGGAAGTGCAACTTATTTTGAATTATGATGAAAGAAGTTTACCTCCATTGATTGTATTGTTCAATATGAAACCTCGTGGTGTCCATGAACACCAGACCTTAGATAAAAAACACCGAGTCATCCATATGCACAAGAAATGGTATTAGACTATGTGCCAATACACCAACAACATGAGGGGCGGTCGGGTAGCCTAGTGGTTAAAGCGTTCGCTCGTCACGCTGAAGACCCGGGTTCGATTCCCGACATGGGTACAATGTGTGAAGCCCATTTCTGGTGTCCCCCGCCGTGATATTGCTGGAATATTGCTAAAAGCGGCGTAAAACTATACTCACTCACTCACTCACCAACAACATGTCGAGATAAATAAGCTGGAGTCAATGAGGTTTGTGATATTAAATGGTACTCCCCGTGGACACAACAGTACGTCATGGTTATCTCCAGTACCCCATGTTTGAGGTAAGCATTCGTGACCAACTCGTGTTATTCCGGGACAAGCCGAATAGCGACTCGTGCCCCTCTCATGGCCATTTTTGCGACCGGGTTCAGTCTTAGCGCAAACGGGCATACCTAAAATAATTGTCAACTCGTTGCGTAATGGTTCACATACATTTCGCCATATATTATATATGCAATTTAAAGCACATCTGGACATGCGGAATTATACAGTATGAATGAGCACATTTAACCTTGTCTTGGGTATATTTTTAGATGCAAGACATATGTCAAATCAAAAAATATTTCTGAGGGATTCTTTGACGAAGAACATGAAATCATACGCGCATTCTGATTGGTTTGTCGTATTTTCGCACATAACATTCATCGATAGGGGGACGAGTCTTCTTGCAGGTTACGGAAAGGGGCGAGTGGTGACGAATGTGAGGTAAGAAGTGGCGGACTGCGCGTCATCGTAACCCGACGGTGTTAATTGTCGTCATACTATCATGAACTGGTTTGCCTCGCAGAGACTGACGTATTTACAGCTCGCTGAATATTGCTGACTAAGGCTTTCTTCAATGACCTGCTTCTACTGGCAAAACACCACTCACTATAGTTTTGTGTATGATCATGGAGTGTCTTGTTTCATGACATTTTTAGTGCCGTAGTATAACCTTTTGTTCACGGTGCTGGCGAACCCTAGGCTTCCTTTCATTTACAAATATACACGCTTCAATTACACAGTCCAATTATCATTATATCAAAGAAAATATATTGATATTGACCTAGTCTCTTCTACAGATCCTGAAGCACAATTTCCGAAATTCCTACCTTCAAAATTTAGGCCATAAAGAGATGAGGAGAGATGTTTCTGGGTCCTTTATATTATATATCAAAAGATTCTATTATAAATCAAAAGACAATTCAACAAAATATATATCTTCATTTCAAAGACTAAATGCTAGTCCAGCATAAATCACCATCGATGTATATACAGCATTGATAAAACTACAAGTTCGTATAGACTAATAAAAAACAAACAGAGGTAACACTGTGAAAATTCAATATTACAAAGCACCACAAAGGTAAACTGCCATATATGCATATATTATAAAAGGACACAGAAAGACTCACCCTGGAAGTAGTTTCAAACAAGACCAAATCCTTACAGCTCGTCAGTATTTACTACTGGCCTAGCTAAACACACTTCTTTTACTTGACTGAAGTGGCTGTTACAAGAGTCTGTTCATTAATGAATGGGGAGGCTATTAATACGACTACAAATATATTGCCGAGGTCATATGCTAATAGCCCATGTCACCTCCTTTAAACCAACGGGCGTAGGGTGCAGCATCCTCGCGTGAGTGAGCGGTAGCTCGTAAGAGCTTGCACGGATATTTTCTGCTCCCCACACGGAAGTAAGCATTTGTTGCTGCATGGAATTCCAGCATACCTGTCAGGGTTGTACAGTTACACTGTTGGGGGCGAGGCAATGTATTCTTTGTACATTAACACTGACTAATAGCGGTAATGTGTTCATGCGACTACCAAATATGGATTACAGGTGAAAGAGTGATTAATATGTTGTGTTTAACGCCGCTTTTAACAGTAATCCAGTTTAATCGCGGCGTGTCAGCTTAATGTGGGAGGAAAGCCCGAAGTGATGCAGGTCTCAGACGTTAACCACTTCGGTGAAACCCACGAGCACGGGTATGGTGCTGACAAACTTTGAAACACAATCGGGGCGAACCGGAATTCGAACACACAATCATAGGTTTCTGGCGTGCCCAAGGGACGCAACTCTGCACAGCGAATCGCGGCGCCTTAGACGACTGGGCCATCCGTGCCCCCTACAGGTGAAAGACAAATATACATCTCGAAATCACGTTTGCATCAACCATATACTCAGCAAAGTTATTGTGACACACGTACATCATAACATAACACAAACTACACGAGCTATAAAAAAACATTAACAAACTTAGACATAAAAGGCAGAGCCACCAGAATGTTTACGCTTAATGCCACCTGCAATGCCTCCCAGGGCATGATGGGACTAAGTATGTTTTCAACCATAAATGTCTTGTCAGAAGTCAGTATCGTGTATATTCCTGGACAGTATGCATGAGCATCATGTATATAATGTATGTGGGTTTGTAGTTTAACGCCGCACACAGCAATATTCCAACTATACGACTGCGGCTTGTAAATAGTCGAGTCTGAACTAGACAATGCAATGTTGCTACGCCGTCGGAGTAAAAAACCACATTATTCTGACCCAGACTCCCGAAAGTGTATTTGTACAGGAGTAAGATTATGTCAAGCGTTGTCCATTGGGATATCACATTGAAGAATGTGGAAATCATTTCTGCACATCACGCTGATCATGTCATTGTGTTTATGTCGAATGGCTGCCAGCTTATGGCGTCTACATTTCTCAGTTCCAAATAGGTACTTCAGATCTTCACTTTCTTTTTAAATTTCACGGAAAGATACATTTCGCTACGCTTTTCAATTATGGCTTTACAGGCAAAGGTCTGGTCAAGTCATTCCTGAAATAATACGGATGACATTCCGAGAAATTTGCAGAATATGACACGGCCCTTCTCAATATGAACCTCAATGGTATCCCATACTATGCCATTTATACTTCAACATCTCCTTACCAGCACTTACACTTGTTTTAAATAAGGCGACAAAACCCTTTCCATATCCAATAGAAATCGCTGCATAGATTCCGACTATATCATGAGCATGTGTTTATGAATCACTATCAAATAGTAATGATACCAGGTGTTCGCGAAAAGGTGACCGTATCCTGCCCCATCGGTGGCACCCGTCACAAACACATGTAAAGGCAAGTCAATTGTTCACCTAAAACAGCACGACAACATATGGAACAAGTCCAAATGGGGAATACAGAAATGTTTGTGGGTGGCGGGTACTACCGGTAGAGTAGGACATGCTTACCCTTTTCGCGAACACCAGGTGTCATCACTGCTTTTCAGTGACCCATTCATATTTTCATCAATAGTTTGCCTCTTACACCCTGTGGAATCAGTTTCGATACTAAGTACTCTCTGGCTTTGACGATTGAATGTATGGAATGTTATGTTAACATGCATCTTGATCTTATTGTAACAGAAATGAGAAACGTATGCAATGACTGCACAACAATACCTCGTGCCGAAGTATTATCATGACATTTTATCACAAGTAAACAACCTAGATCATTCAAGACTTTAAAACAAAGACAATACAACTTTAAATATCAGATCACACACAAATAATTCGATCAGAAATAGCATGGTGGTTATTGTTGTCCACGCACCTACATGAAGTACTTTCAAGGCTACCATAAATACCAC